CTTTTTTTTCCTTTTTTTTTTTCCTTTTTTTTCTCTCCTGCTTCTACAGTGGCTTTCACATCCAACCTTATTTTTTTATTTCAAGTATGCACGCATTCTTACCATCAAACGGATGCTCTAAATGTCTCTCAGAAATCCTTGATGTTTTCTATTTTTTCTCTCAGCAGGCCTTACTGGGAAGATTTTACCATAACCCATTAACGGCATGCATGAAAGAGGAGCAAGAACATTGCTTTCCATGGTTTCAGACTATCAAACACTGAGAGCTATCTGCCAAGTGGTATCGCTTTCTGTAGCTACAACAGTTGATAGACCCTTTGCAAGTAAGGGCTGATTTGTGTGGAAAAATCTGGTGGCTGGTGACAGCATTAAACTAATTTACTTTTGTTTCAAGCATGAATGCCTTCCTGTAAAGCAGTCATCCCGGTTTGTTACCCAAGGTGAATGATTCATGTGAAAATGATAAATGTTTGTATTGAATTGTGGCATGTGTGATACTCCCTGAAAGCAGAATCAGTTATAGTTGCTAAGCAACAGAACTTATTTAAAAAAAAAAAAAAGTAGGGACTTCTGCATTCTCTTAAACTGTAGGAAGAGTATCCCCTTTCATTTTCTTACAAAGAGATGTTAATTGGTTTATTCTGCAGAGAGAATTTCCCATCTCTCTTGTTCCAGCCTTGCTAATATTGCTAGATCTCCTAATGAACATGATTATCAAATTGCCATTTCACTTAAGTAGTAGAAATAACACTAAATGAAACCATGCATTGTCACAACAGTGTTGGATTAAAAGCTGTGGCTGCTACAACAGCCCATTCCCATATTGGGCAGTTTACTTCATTAGGAAAAATCATGTCACTCCTTATAAGATACCTTATGTTTAAAATACCAGATTATACAAGTACCAGATAGTGTATATAATAAACATAAAAAACATTCTGTGTGCATGGCTGCTAAGTGTTCATGACAATTGTGAAAATTAGATTCTGCTGTTTGCATTTCTTCCATCTTGTAAAGCTGCTCTGTGGGCTTCTGCTACCTGCGTCTGGCTGAGAAAGACACCCCTGATGAGACAGGGGAGACTTCTTCCTGGCCTGAAGTCTGCAAGCAGTGCTCCTTGGGCTGATCTTTGCAATCTGAACAACCTTTCCTCTGCTGAAGACATGTTGGTATGCAGTGAGGTGTTTCAGTTCTACATATCCAGAAGTGCACTGTGTACTGTGGTTTTACCAGATTCACCCAGACACAGGTAATTCAGGATGAGAACACGGTAGCTTCACTTCCAGTTGGTGAAGAGTCTGTATCATGAGTAACTGCATCTTTTTGCAGAATTGCATGAAGTTTCATATTGATAGGAGCTCATAATTCATTGCTCACCCAGTCTGTGAAAGGAGCACACGCAGTACATGCATTTATCTTCATCAGGTATCCAAGTAGTGGCATTAGTTACTATCACAATTCTTGATTTTGTGGCAATGCTGCTGTATTTCCTTATAGCCTAAGCAGATTCACAGTGCACAGCGCTATCTCACTGAGGTTACTTCTTGGCCTACTATTATTGATAACATCTGTCTCGCTATTGTAATCTAGTTCTCTGCTGCACTGGCAGCCAAGAAATGTGGTGCTTCGGGATCAAAACTATTGCTGGTTGAATTCTTGGGGAAAAAAAAAAAAAAAAAAAAACAGCTTTTTTTAGATGAAACTATCTGAATCTCCATGAATTGTGAAATGAGATTAATTGCAGTGATGCAGAACTAAAGGATTTTAAAAACAATTTTAAATCATTTTAAATGTTTGGATATTTTAATCTTGGGCTTGATACAACCTGTGTTGCGTTCCCTTCCTCCCAACCTGCCCAACCTCCCTCCAAAAATGTCTCGGTTCACTGTTCAAACAAAAACACTTAAAAACAACTCAATGAGATGATAGCAGCTTCCAAATAAAACATTTGGAGTTCATCAGCATGTATCATTTCACTGGTTTTTAGTATGATTCATTTGGATGTATAGTTCAACCTCTGTGAGCACTTTTAAAATTGTTTTCTCATAGTTCAAGATAAAACAGAATTTAAAACCTGCAGTGTTTTACAGGAATATGGCATTTGAACCACTGTGTTTGCTCTTTCCAGAAGATGTAGCATTACCACTCACCATTCCTTTTGTGTACACGGCAACTTGTAACACCTTTGTGAGCATTTGGAAATACAAACGGCTGCTCCAAAAGTAATGCCTCCTATTTTATTGTGTTGGACCACGACTTTATAGGCAGATGTTGGCAATATGGCAGCAGAGATCAAACTTTCCCACCAGTATTCCATTACATGTTGTTGCCGCATGAGAGATGGCAGCTGAGGGGCAGTCCACAAAATGGTGCCTGACATGGAAATGTATATAAAGCAAAGGTGTGTCATTGAATTCCCCCATGTGGAAAAAAAAAAAAAAATTAGAATCACAGGATCATAGAATGGCTTATGTTGGAGGGGACCCCAAGGGTCATCAAGCTCCAACCCCTCTGCTGCAGGCAGAGCCACCAACCTCCACTTGTAATATTAGACCAGGCTGCCCAGGGCCCCATCCAACCTGGCCCTGAACACCTTCGGAGATGGAGCACCTCTCTGGGCAGCCTGTTCCAGCACCTCACCACTCTCATAGTAAAGAACTTCCCCCTGACATCCAACCTAAATCTTCCTTCCCTCTACTTAAAGGCATTTCCCCTTGTCCAGCTATTATCTACCCTTTCAAAGATTTGAAAATTGCACCTACTGACATTCATTGACACTTACTGAATGTTTATGTAGACCAAACAGCTGATGAAAGATGGATTGTATTGGCAACAGTTTCCTAGCAATGATGCTATCGCAGTAGCCATGAAACACTGGGACACCTCTGCTGGTGCAATTTGTTACAAGCATGGCACATAAGCTCCTGCTCATTACTGGCCAAAATGCATAGCTAATGATTTTGACTATGTTGAAAAATAGTGTTTTGGAGCAAATAATTTGCTCTGTCAAATAGTGTTATTGTGCTCTTCGTATCTGCTGTAATTTCCACGGAAATAAATAGGAGGCGTCACTTTCGGAGTGAGCCTTACAGAAAGGTCAGTGGGCAACATTCCTGGTAGTCTGAAGCAATGATGGGAAATTGGATCAAAACTGGAAGATTTTGCATATTCCTGTGGACTGTAATCCTTTTCTGCCCAAGCCCACGGTTGCCCGACAACTCAGCTCGCACCCTTTTAATATCATTTCAGCTCCCACCGCGATCCTGATCCCCTGCTAAGCCAGCCGCGAGCTGTCGGGCTCCATCTACACTTCCTAACTGTGCTGGCTTCTCTTGGAATTTGCTAATAAAACCAGCTCATTGAACGTAAATCTGCCGGAGTGAGAGCTCGCCCAGATAAGGCGTGCAGAACACCCGGCTGGGGCCGGCCCCGCTCAGGCCGCTCTGCTGCCGGAGGGGAGCATCCAGGCCGGCTTTGCTGGGCAAGAGCTCCGCCTAAGGGAGCTGAAGGACTGAAGTCTTTCCCGAGGCAACGCGGCGGTGTTGTGCGAGGAGGGGAAAAGCCGCTAGGGTTTCTCGTGCTCCACGTGAGAAAGAAAAGGTCTTCCCGTGCTGCAGCAGGTGTGTCTCTGAATGACACGGTATATTCTTTCCTGTTGTAAGCTTCGTTGAGACGTGTGAGAGCTAGGAACTGCTTGCACTCTGTCACCTTCTGTGCGGATAACTGCTCGTGATCTCCGCCATCACCATCAGCAGCACCATTTCCCCCGCAGCATTCCTGAAGTAAACATCTCCATAATAGGTATGATAAAAGCTCCCTAGGGAAGAGAAGCATGTATTGTCACACGGCCATGTTTCCTTCGCTTGCTTTCAGCACTGTCAGCGTTACGTCCTTGCAGCGGTGCGATTAATTGCCGGCCCTTAGCATGATGAGCGCACCCCCACTGGGCTGCCAGCTGGCAGGATAAGCTCACTGTAGCATAGAAGTGCAGCCCTTCTCTGCAATGGACAGCTCTCCTTCCCTGCCTCCATCTCACCTCTGTGACCCACTGACCACCTCAGGAAGGTTCAAGGTTCGGACCTCCCTGCCCTGCTTGTGCTGAGAAGGGCCTTCCTGTGCAGTTAATGGCATTGCCTTAATTATTCCAACTTGAAGAGGGCACCGCGCAACAGCAGAATCAAATGAATGTTCTTTTTCGTGAACAAATTGCAGGCAATTTAGCTAGTGGAATTGCGTATGCACCTGATATTCAATTACATCAGGCTCTAGAGGAGAAAACACTTATCAAGCAAATTGGATATCATTTTGCTGCTCCAGGAGCACACACACGGCTGCTGATGTGCAGTGGGAAGTGATGGGCTGCTGGTTCCTTACAGGCATTCACAGCAGCACCCATCCTCTGTTCTGAGCTTAGAGAGCGCAGGCAGGGCGGTCATAGCAAGTGCCATCTGACCAAAAATTCTCCTCTTTCTTCTTTTGGTGGTGGGGAATGAATTCTGCGTTCCGACTGAGACAATCCTGCTGTGATGTGAGGCAGTCCAAATCCCAGACATCTGGCTGCAGCCCCTACATCAAGCAACAGCTTGCCATACACGTTCGTTTCACTTTACAGAGCAGTTCACCTGGTGCCGTGTCATTTCTCTGTTCCTAAGATTGCTCTCATTACTTAAAGTGATCTAATCCTCTTTTCAGGCAAAATGACTGAGGATTTCACAGGAATGCCTTACTGAGTTCAGATTTTCTTCAGGTATTGGAGATAAGCAAATGTGTGCATACATGCTGGGAACTCAGTCCAGGCCTTGTGAGGAGCTCCTTGGTCATCAAATAACTGATGTGCTTGAGGACTGCGAAAACTGAACTTTGGCCTAAGGATACTGCCAGTGAAGGGAGCTTCGTTGTGAGAAATTGCCCATTTGCTTCTTATCTGCATGTACTGTTGCCCACATTATCACTACTTAGTTCTCAAATGCCAATTTATAACAGCTGATCTATGAGGAAAAGAGAGGAAAGCTGCCGCACCCCCAGTCCTCCAACAATGCGGCCTCTTGCTGTTCTCTAATTTCTCTCTTCTTCTGAAGCTTGAGCTCCATAGGAACAAAGCAGGCTCTGAGCACTGTGTCTGATAGAAGAACAGACTTTCAATGCCAGAGCAGCATTTACTGTTCTGGTATAATAATTTTGATTTCTAGAGAATTAATGTTAAGTAGGTTGAAATAGCCAAAAAATAGCCTCTGACATAGCACAGGTATTTCACTGTCCCAAACTGGGATAGCATACAGAAAGCTGGAGTTTTACTATTGTTTTTTGGCAGGTGTTGCTGAGACCTGCTGAGCTCACTGTGATGGGGACAACCGATGCTCTCCTGACACTGGAAGATGGCTGACATGGGTTTTACCTGGTAAGCTAGAGGGAGAGTTATCTGAGTTAAATCAGTGAGAGCTGTGCTCTGCTTGCCACCAGCAAAAGTCATTTTCATGTCATCATTACATTCTTTTAGATTCGTGTGTTTTAACCCTTCAGATGCCTCCAGAAATAACAGTCAGCCATAACAGATGGTTTTGCAGTGCACACAAAGAAACTTGGAGTATAGTGCTTCTGTCTTCTCATGTTCAGAAACAGAAAGCCACTCTGGGCTCAGGAATTTGAGTCTTCTTTAAATAAGCCTTGAACATAAATATCCTGTGATTTAATAAAGGCTCTGCAGAAAAATGTAATCTCTCCTACTTAATATTTCTCTCTTCTACTCTAACTTGTCCTTTAAATAACAGTATGCTGCTCACGGGCATTAATCTGTGGGCTTCTGAACTGCAGAAAAGGACAACAGAAATGACTTCTCACAAATAGAGTTATCCCCTTTTCCAGATACCATCAAGGTTTATTTATCTGACTCACAGATGAGACCAAGGTTATAGTTTGTATACCCCTGCGGGAAAACTGTTATTGTTTTTATAGCACATCTTTTAACTGATTGCACATACTGCCCCATAAAACTGCAAGCACACACAGCAGAAGTGTTTGTTTCAGGGCTGTGATTTCCACTCACTTGAGTGCACACCTTGTGCAAGTACTTCTATCATCATGTCCCCTTCCCCAGTGTGTCCATGCTCTTCTAGAAGAATTTGTTTTCAGTTTACCTATCAGTAAGTGAAAAGGGGTTTTCTTTTATGCTACTGGAGGAATATTGGATAGCAGTGCACTTCTGCTCTGAGGGTTAAAGTAGTGTTACTGCTAGCTTCTGTGTGCCAGAGCAGCACCGCAGGCTGTACTTCTGCAGAGGAAGCTTATGCAAGACAATGAAAGGTTACAGAGAGGAGCCAAAGTGCTAAGGCTTCTATGATTAATAATCACCTACTGCCTGTTCCACATTACCAAATGCTACTGAACATAATGATACCTTCAGCATAATGAATTTCCCGCAGCTCATCTGAAAATCTCTTTATCTGGATGTGTTGGCCGTCCTCCACTTTGGCTGAGCAGAACTGTTTCGTCATTGGGAAACCACTTGAGAATTCAAGTTGAATGGGACAAAAGGAAAAAACAAAAATCCCAGATAGCAAATAACAGCTCAGTTTGAAAGGGACTTCATGTATGCAGAGAGGACCAGGCTAGCAAAAGCAAAAATGCTGAAGCTCTATTATTTCTGTGTAAAATACAGATGACTGTTTTTCAGGGAATGCTTTATAAAAATCCATAATTTATTTTATTTTTACCTTTTTTTTTTTTTTTAACCTTTGATGCAGGCTTTAAAATCATAATCACTGCCTTCATATTTCCTTTTTAAGATACACCTGCAGTTATTATTTGTGCAATAAGGAAATAACTTCATCTTAGCCTGTTTTTAGATTTGAATATAAGGCCTTAGAATGACCCCCACTCCCTGGAATGTTTCCCCTGTAAACGGTTGTGTTTGAATGTGTGCAGCTGAAACAGGATTTCAACATGCCGGTATGTTTCTGTGGATGTTTTCCTGGAAGCACTGAGCCTGTTTGGCTGAATGTGTGCACATCTCACTACACTCTATCTTTATACATTTACTTATTGAATTAATTGAATTCAAACAAGCATCGAGTATGAGATCACAGAATCACAGAATCACAGAATTGTAGGGGTTGGAAGGGACCTCCAGAGATCATCGAGTCCAACCCCCCTGCCAAAGCAGGTTCCCTACAGCAGGTCGCACAGGTAGGCATCCAGGCAGGTCTTGAACATCTCCAAAGAAGGAGACTCCACCACCTCCCTGGGCAGCCTGTTCCAGTGCTCCGTCACCTCACTGTAAAGAAGTTCTTGTGCATGTTTGTGCGGAACTTCCTATGCTGCAGTTTCCAGCCGTTTCCCCTTGTCCTGTCTCCATTCACCACTGAAAACAGTCTGGCCTCGCCATTCTGCCCCCCACACCTTAGATATTTATAGACCTGGATCAAGTCCCCTCTCAGTCTTCTTTTCTCAAGGCTGAACAGACCCAGTTCACTCAGCCTTTCTTCATAGGAGAGATGCTCCAGGCCCTTCACCATCTTCGTGGCCCTCCGCTGGACTCTTTCCAAGAGATTCTTGTCTTTTTTTGTACTGGGGAGCCCAGACCCATGTTTAGTAGAAGTGTAACACTATCCTCGTGCTTTGGAGTGCAGATTCTGTTCTATTACATTATGTTACATTCAGGTTGGCTTTAAAAAGCAGAGGCTGCTTTTGATATGCTATGTGTGTGCAGCAAGAAAGCTGTATTTTAAAATAAAATAAAAAACCAACCTAAGAATCTCGAATGTCATGAAAGTACATAAAGAGTGAGGGGGATTGGGGTAAAGAGAAGCAAAGTGAGAGAAAAGTCATTGGGCAAGCTTGGATGAATGCTTCCATTCCTGTTTGCCCGTGCCCCTTTCCATCGATAACTTCTTTTTCCTGCATTGCCTTGGCCAATAACCAGCTGAACTGAAGAGGTCTGGAGATAAGCCTGTGAGTTCTTCAGCTAGATAATGGTTCATGCTTTTGGTGTACTTGCATATGTGGTTTGTGTGGGTGGGTTTGGGGAGTTTTTGATTGTTTGTTTTGTAAATATACAATTGAAATTGCTCGAAACTTAAGGATGGAATTATATGAATACATATCTATTTTTAAGAATTGTCAGGCAATGGGCATCAAATGATCCTCAAATGTGAATGGAAAGCACATATGAGACAAATTTTAACTAAAAATGTTGAAAACCAGAATAGGCAATTTTTCCAAGGACAGACTGGCACTGGTAAAAAAAAAATTGCTCTGCAATCCAATCAACCATTTTCTTCTTTCTTGTGTCTGATTGAGATTTACAGTGAAGGAAGTTCCTGAATTCAGATGAGGATAACCAAGATACTCTTACTGGCCCCTCTTACAGTTGACGGAGATTTTTGCATGGCTGGAAGACAGCATCATGTGCACCACAGGGTTCAGAATTCTCATGTGCTATCTTGCATCACATCCCGAGGGTATCATATAAATTGTGTTATGAACGATGGTAAATACTGTACATGTGGCAAAAAGAACCACTGTCCATTGGATGCAACATTTAAACATGAGTATGGCCTCTAAAAATGGCCCAATTCTTTCAAAGTGTTCAAAAAGCTGCTCTATAGTATAATTAAATATTGATGCTTCACCAAAAATACATTTTCTAAAACTGGATGTGCTGATCATCCCAAGTGTATTTTAAATAATCTCTGTCCATGTATTTTTCACTCGAGCTGTTCGTTTAGAAGTAGTTTCCATCTTGTGGTGTTGACATCTGGGAATCTTTATAACAACTTCTATGAATATAGAATCAATAATGTGGTTCCTCTCAGTAATGTTCTTATCTAGAAAGATATGTAGGAAACATTATTCACCACGCGGTCAGCTCTGGTTCCTCATTTTCAAACAAACTGTAGGTAGAAAGACCATCAGAAGACAAAAATTGAATTACAACTCATCTTGAAGATGAATTGCCCTGCAATTTTATCATACTTAAAGAGGAAACAAGGAAAATGGGAAAGGGGAGGGAGAAGTCAATACAGAAATACAAAGTGCAATTACAAAAGGACCAGGAATCTGGAAGCATCCATATGTGGGCTGGCTTATACCCTACTCAAAAGAAATGGGTGTCCTCTTGATATGAAAAAAAACTGTTCTTTTTCAGGCAGCTCTGCAGTTTAATGCATACTACAGATTGGAGGGCAAGGGCCACACAGCAAATCAGGTTTGTAGGTTCAGTGTTCTCTGAAAGCTTCACCTCAAAATGAATTTCCAGTCTGTAAAGGGGTGTGATATGGTAGCTTGCATCAGTTTTGCATGGAAATTTATTTTATAATGGAATGCCTAGCAAGGCTTCATTTCTTTTCTGATCTGCTCAGAAATAGAATAAGAGTTTTATACAGGGGTAAGGTAGCAGTGATTGAAGAATCCTTAGAAACAATTCTTTAAATACTTGAATTAGTTTTGTGGCACATAAGTTGTTCAAAAGATTTTTTATGACGTATGGCCTTACAACCTCCAGGACAGAAAGGGAAAGCATAGCAGCATGTTTAATACTTCTTAGTTAAAGAAGGAATTGAATGCCGTCCTCCTGTGGCATGGAGGACAGAGCTAATGATGGAGCTGCTGGGTGCCTCATCTTTCACGGTGTTCCTTGTCATGCTCAATCTGACAGAGAAGCTTTGAGAGTATTTCCTGCAGGTGGCCCAACATGGGAAGGAGGGAGAGGACTAGCGACCTGCAGTTTGTGCTGGCAATTACATGTAAGCCTTGCTGTGTTGTTCCTTGTAAGTGATGAGACTTGGGCAGCTCTCATCAGTGGGACCTCCATAGCGATGACCAAAGTGATTCACATTCCTGGTGTGACAGCTGAACATAAATGTTTTAGACTTGCATTAAAAAGACAGGAAGGACTTACCTACCCAGAGGGGCAGTATTTCAGTACCTGAGATAATTAGCAGACTCTCTCAAAGCTCATTATGAGCAAATCAGGTTACCTTCACCACAGATGAGGCTCAAGGTTTAGTGCTAGGTCCAGGGATTTTCCTACAGGCAGGTGTGAGCCAGGCAGCTCCCTGCTGCGAGGGTGGGGAGAGGTGGGGAGGACAAATAGCTGTGACAGAGCACTCAGTAGCTGCAAACTGCCACACTGAAGTTTGTTGTCTCGCACAGAGCAGAGCCTGTGAGTCAGGACTGGCAGCCACCAAGTCTGGGATGAATCGGAGCAATGGAAATTGTATGTAAAATGCAGTGTATTGTACAGAAAATCAAAATGTGTTCTCAAAATCAAAATTGCATCCTCTGATCGTAGCCAATGCCCACACGCACAGGGACTGTTAATTACATCACTGTTCAAGTGATGGCTGCTATGTATACCGATGCCAATGAAGGCCAATGGTCAGGAGAAATCTGGTTTGAGTTCAATTCACCTGATCCTCCTCTTGATGATAGTTCAGACAATTTGGGACATCGGGAGGCTGTGCGATGGCCACATGCATGGGCCATCCTCAGGAGCCCCAATGCACCCAGCCACTTCTCTCCTGCTCATGGTAAAGCCAGTTGCGGTGGGGTCAGGAAGGACACGTCCCCATGTCACAGTTGGGTGCTGAGCAGAACTGTCTAGGTTTATCAGGGCCCACCCCCTTAACTCTTTCCTGATAATCAAGAAGCCTCAAAGAATGGAATAATGCCTGTCCTGCCATGGGTCACTGGCAGAGGCTTGTTCCTGCCTCCTTGC